CTCTATATTAGAAAGGGCTGGGCATGGTAGCACACACTTTTAATCCTTGTTGGCAGAGGCAGGGGAATCTCTGTGAGTTCCATTCCAGGCTAGCCAGGGCTACATCGTAAGACCTCGTCTAAAAAAGAAAAGGTGGTGTGTGTGTGTGTGTGTGTGTGTGTGTGTGTGTGTGTGTGTGTGTGTGTGTGGCAAATGGCATTTTAATGTCAAGAAAAAAAATCATACAATATCCGGAAATTAAATTAGTAAGGAATTAAGAAGTGTGGGGTTGGTGATACCCCGGAGTGCTAGAGTGCCGGCACAGCATGCCCACCCCCATCCCTACCAAGATTTGTTTAAAGGATATTAAAAAAGTAGCCAAATAAATGAAGCAAAATACCATGCTAACAGACGGGATGATTTAAATTTAAAATATTTAATTCCTATAAAAGTAAAGATCCAGTGTAATTGTAATAAAAATTTGAGAGATTTTTTTTTGGAGTGAAACCAATAGAATGAACCTGAATTGTATCTGGCAAATAGTTCAGGGCAATTTTAGAAAACAAAACAAAGCAATTGAAATCTTTAAGCCAAAGGAGCAAAGTACAAAGTTAAACAGATCTGTGAATCCACAGGGGTTCATTATAGGGGCAGGATGCCACAAATCAGTGAAGAAATGGTGAATTATTTAAGACTTGATATTGGAAATAAGGAGAAAAATACAACAGATTTCTATTTCCTCTTATATAAGATAAGCTCTGAATATATTAAATATAAATGTCAAATATACAAGGAAAGAAGAAAATACAGAAAACCAGGAAAAGAAAAAAAAATTAATACATGCTGGTAGACTGAGTTTTCTGGAAAACAAACTCAAAGGCAGGGATTTACATCAGGATGGAACTTATCGGATCTTGGAATCCAGACACTGAGGACTAAAGGAAGCAAGATTGGTGGTACAATCTTTACAGGGCTTCGGCTGATCGCCTGAAGGTGCTCTGGAGCTGGGTCAGCCCTTGCAGTGGGTGGGCAGAACTTTTATTACTTGCATTGACCTGTGTTCGGAAGCAGGCTACCCAGAGAAGGAGGCGCAGCTGATCAGGCACAATGTTGGAACCGCTAGCTTTATCTTGTTTATAATTATGAATCTGCTGCTATGGATGTGAGAGTACTCCTATCTCTGTGAGGTGCTATTTTAAAACCCTTTGGATATGCACCCAGAATGAGATTATTGGATCGTATAGCACTCTATTTTTAATATTGTGAAGATCTGCTACATGGTTTTCTACAGAGCAATACCATCTTACATGCTCACTAACACTGATGAGTGTGGGGTGATAGTTGTTATTCCTTTAGTACAATTTATTTGAAAAGTAAAATTAATGCCAAGCATGGTGGCCCACACCTTTGAACACAGCACTTAGGAGGTGGGTTTGAGGCCAGCATGGTCTACAGGCTAGCCAAGGAGAGAGAGAGAGAGAGAGAGAGAGAGAGAGAGAGAGAGAGAGAGAGAGGGAGGGAGGGAGGGAGAGACCCTCCTTCAAATGAAATTGATTATCTTATTATAAAAGCAATATATGTTCATTAGAGAAGGTTGGGGAAGGAAAGAAAAGTATAAAAAAGAAAATAAATATCTCTTGCACTCCTGGTATTTTAAGATAATTGGTGTTCACATTTTAGCTTAGAGTTCTTCAGAGTCTTTTCTGACCATATGCACCCAAGGCTAATGATACAATTTGGCAAAAAGTCTCCTGTTTTCTTATGAATATACCATGAACCAGGTCCTACCTGCCCCTGGGGGGAAGTGCCTCGAACAACTTACATAACTATATTGTAATTCTAAATGTACTTAAAATCATAAACCTGAGAGCATACTATTTGGTAGACGACATTTGGTTATTAGTTCCTATTGGATAGTTGTTTAAGAAGTTTTTATATTATAAAGTCCTGCTAATAATACTTGTACATAGAATTTCTTACATATTTACAATGATTCCTCTTGATAAACTTATAGAAATTGCCTTGAAAATGAAATGTTTAATGACTGCTTATTATACGGTCTGAACTGTGATTAGAAATAAAAATATCTAGTCACAATGCAGTGTTGTAGACATAATCATTAACCTTTTTTCAAAGAGAAAGTTGAAACAACACAAGACTTGAATTTACTTGATTAGGGTCACAAAGTTGGAAAACGTAGGCCTGGAACTTGACCAGATAGCCTGGGCTCTGGTGAGTCACTTTAAAGTACAAGATAGGTAGATGTTAAGAATAAATATACCTTATACAGCTAGGGAAGTGGGCCTGAACACTTGATCATTTCCATAGGAGATAAAATTCATTCAAAAGCAACCTTTTTTGTTAGAAAGCAATTTTTCCTTTTTTAAAAGAAAACAATTTATTGATAGGAATGATTATTATTCTACTACGATATACAGCATTTGTTACTGAGCTCAATTCTAGAAGATAATTTAAATTCACATTGAATCTATGAATGATAATGTTTTCTTATCCATTTTTAGTTTAGATTTCAAGGCATCCAGGACAACGCTTCTCTGTGCTGCACTTTAGATTCCTTAGACAGAGGTGATGGCCTTTGTTTCTTCTTCATATTGCTGTTTAGGTCTATAATCTAATGAGCTCTTTGAGTAAGAATGCATGAAAGTGTGTCTGGATGTGTTAATGGAGGAATATCAACTTTCTCTTTTTATATTTAACTCAAATTTTTGGTATTTAAAATAGAACAAATTTAGAAACACATGATACAGCTTTATATAAGTACATTTAAAAATGGGAGTAAAAGCAGGAAGAGAAAGTGAGGAATGATGTCTGGCTTCTTCATTCAAAAAATGTAATTTCAGTGTCTTAAGTATAATATGTAATGCAGCCAAGGAGAGTATACAGGAGTAAAACTGGGAATGAAAGAATCCATTTTACAAGGTTAACGTTACTAATTGTGTTCTCTAGCCTTTTATTAGTGTAACAAAATACCTAGCTAGATCAACTTAAAAAGAGGGAGGGTTTATTTTGGCTCACAGTTCATTTCCAATTGTTGCTTTGACCCTGTGGCAACATAGCAAACCATTGTGGGTGCTCACCACATCTGGGAAATTGCTCACTTCATGATTGCTGAGACTGTAATGTTTTTGTCCCTCAACCCTTCAAAAGAGTGCTTGGCATACAAAAATTATCTGATAGGTATTTGTTGAGTATAAGAAAGATCTACCCACATTCCAAGGGCAGGCCTGTGACCTGCTGTGCAGAAAGTCTTGGTCTCTACTCTTAATTTCTATTCATACTACCTTGGCCCTCCTCAGCTTATATTGAAGAGCTGCTTCTTTTCTTCTTTTCCTCCTCCCCCTCTTCTTCTTCTCCTTTTCCTCTTCTCTCTCCTTCTTCCTCTTCCTCATCCTCCTACCTTGGTCTTCCTTCCTCAGCTTATACTGAAGGGCTTCTTCTCCCCGCGACCCACCCCTTCCCTTTTTTTTTTTAGACAGGGTTTCTCTGTATAGCCCTGGGTGTTCTGGATCTCACTTTGTAGAGCAGGCTGGCCTTGAACTCACAGAGATCCGCCTGTCTCTGCCTCCGAAGTCCTGGAACTAAAGGCATGCGCCCCCACCTCCCAGAGAGGAGCCATTTAACCACAGTGGCAAAAGTGGAAGTTGGTGATTCGGGTCCGGTGGTGGTGGTGAACAGGTGGGACAGAAAGCATGAAGTTCACATCATCCAGTTGCTGTGGGTGCAAGGACAACTTGAAAACCAGATCTACAGGAATTTGGTTATCTCTGGATGCCATTCACGCAGAACAAAGGAAGACACTTCCTCGGAAGTGGGATTTGGTGAGGCGCCAGTAGCGAGCCGTGGTGGAACACCTCCACATCCGTTTTTGCTGACTGTGGTGTAGCCCCATCCGCTGGGAGGAAAGCTCACGTCAAGTTTCAGCCACACTAACCACAGGGCAATGCACATGCCAAGAGAGCTGCTAACCAAGATTCAGATTCCTCCTCTGGGATTTAAAGTCCAGAAAGCAGAGCCGGGACTAGGCAGTCCAAGTCCACGCACGAAGGGGCGTGGAGACTGAAGGGGAAAGCTGGCGTGGCGTGTGGCTTCCAGTCCTTAGGCAAAGGTCGCCCCGGGTCGAGGGCTGGGCCCTGGGAGAGCGTAAAGTACCGCGCGGTGCCAAAGGGCCACCGCCTCCCTCCTGCTCTCAATTCCCCTGGAGAGTTGAATTGCGAACTTTCATCCTTGCCACAGGCCTGTCCACATTAAACAGCCCTCTTGTCTTTTGGCTGGAGGTGGGGTCAGTTGGCAGTGATCGAGCGACACACACACCTGTGCAATACTCTCAAGCCCACAAATAAGGTCCGCATGGCTAAAATTACCCTTAAGACACTGAACTGCAAAACCGTAACTCCCGCCCCCTTGCTGGGACCCAGTGGCCTCCTGCTCAGTCCAGCCGGTTTTCCAGTAGACTACCAGGCGACCACGCTCATCTTTTGACGCAGCGCTCCCGGGACTGTCGTGTTCAAGTTCAAATATCGGAGGAAAAAAGAGAACAGGAGAAGGGAATCCGAGGGGGGCGGGAGCGCCAGGCACCGCACGCGAACCTTCTGGGAAAAGTAGGGGAACGTCGCGGTGCGCGGCGGCTCCCTTTCCGCACAAAACCCTAGGAACCAGCCGTGCGTGCCCGCTCGCCAGGCGTGGCGCGGGAGGGGAGGTGAGGTTCGCGGGAGAGGAGGTGAGGTTCGCGGGAGAGGCGAGCCCCCAAGGGCGAGCGAGCTGTCCTCCACCGCGTCCCAGTTCAAGTTTCGGTGGAAACTTTCTCCCGGAGGCTCCGCCCCCTTCACCTAGGAAACCCGTGCGCGCCCGAGCGCGCGCAACCCGAGTCCCCGGAGCACCTGGCGGAGGCGGGGCGAGGCGACGGGGCGGGGCCGTCGGGGGGCGTGGCCCGAGGCGGCGGAGGCCCTGGGGGCGGGGTCTGCGGCCAGCTCCCCTGAGTCGCCGGGCAGGTTGGGCTCTGCCCCTGCCGCCGCCCCGCCCAGGCTCCTCGGAGGGTGCGGGCTGTGTGTGGGGCGGGAACGAGTCCCGGACCTGCCAAGGGCTGACGCGCAGGAGAAAAGTTGTGCCTTGACCTTCTCTCTCTCTCGGTGATTTGTCCCCGGGTCCTCAGGCTGAGTGGAAACCGGGGCTGGAGGTCACCGCGCCCAGACGCCCGAGGGCAGCTGCCCGGGCGCCCGGAGTTGGGTGTTGGGCCCGGGAGGAGCCGGCTCTGCCCCGCAGTTAGTGCCCTGCGCACTGGCGGCTCGGTTGTCCCCCGGACTGCCGCACAAACTTTCTGACTGTCGAGGGGACACTGCGTGCGTGGCGGGTGGACCGCCCGTAGGTAAGGGATCTGCGCATGAAGGATTGCTTTTTATTTTATTTTAGGATGTTGGAGGAAGAGAAGGGTGTCCCGAGAGCCTCCTTCCTGCATCCTGTTGGGCGACAGGGGTAGGTTTTTGAAGAGAGGGAGGGCAGGGAGGCTGGGACCTGTGACTACTGCTCCGGACGCTGCGGGCTCTTGCACGCGACGTTACTCACGACTGACCCTGGGCGAGCGAGAGAGCTGGCTTGTTTTGACGGAGGAAGATGTCATCAGGCTTTTGTCGGGTCCCTCGGGTCGCAGTGCCTGGGTCTCCCAGGAGGAATTGGCGAAGGCGATGAGATCTGAATCTGTCTTCCTCTCCAAACCTCCTGGCGTACACTGAAATTGGAGGCGGTGCCTCTGAACTTGCAGCACTTTTCAAGCTGAGAGGAATTTGCTGTTGAGTAGCTGTTGCTCAATTTCATAAATTCGCTGAAACTGGATTCGAGTTATGGTTCTCATCGACAGTGTGTGTGGGTTCTCTGGCTTCAACAAAGCTCTTTTGTTAAACCCACTCCTGTTGTGAGGTAGTAGACTCGCTGTTGTTTTATTTCAAGTTTGGGTAGATGAGGTATTGGCGGCGACAGCTGCTCTGTTTGCTTAGAACTTTGGGAATCAAGTGTGTGGGTCCGGAGAATTAGCCCAGGGTGGCTTCAGCCTCCTGTACTTGACAGATCAGCCGCCAGCCATTCCACAGGTGATGCAGCCCTAGACATCCAGGTGCAGGGAATACCATCCTGACTCTCCTTGGAGGACGAGAGCTCCAAACTGAAGAAAGACAGCTCTCAGGGGGAGGAAGGGTGGGAAATAAGGCAGGCAGACCAATTACATGTCCTTCTAGCTGGGGCTAACTACTCCCTTGGCTGCTCTGGGAGGGTCTTGCTATCAAGTTCATCTCATTGGGAAGTCAGCTGCTTTTCAGCTAATGGCCATAGCAGCTCTGATGAAATTATATAGGTCACTGAAAAATAAATTCCTGCTTAATCACCTTTATCCTGTTGATTAACAAGGGGGAAAATTCCCCCTCCTTAATGTACCTGCCTGACCTGCAGTTCACTAGATAGGATTTTTCTGAAGCTGTCTGGACTCTATGGACCCCAGCCAGTGCCCCCATTTGGAGAATGTCAGTGGTCTTCTTGGGACAGAAACTGAGTTAGAGATTCATTCAGTCCAATATGGCAGACAAGTTGGCATTAAAGATCGATTTCTTTGAGCATTAACGAATTCTTTCTCATGACGCTGCTAAGAATTTTAAGGTCGGGGTCCCATTTGTCATTTGTCTTATGGTTTTAGGGATATGATTAAATTAGAGAAGCAGGCATTGCTGAAGTGGATTTAGAATAGTTGAGAGCGGTCTAATAATATAGGCTTAACTACCCAGCTAGCTTTTTCTTGCTTCCAACAAGAGGCACCATGGGGCGGACGTTCCACTTTAAATGCAGGCCTTCGGAGACTGGAAATGACAAGGGTGTTCTGTTTTCTTCAGTCAGAGTAATACACTGCTGGACGGTTCTTTACCTCCCAGATTTAGTTCAGAAGTCTTTCTGCGAAGTCCTTTCTATAGCAGGGCCCTAATAGGCAATGGCTATAAACCAAAAGCAAGCGTACGAACGTACGTGGCCGGGTGGGGTAAATAGAAGACGCCGGGGAGTACAGTTGTGAGCTTGGGCTACTTTTGTCTTTCGGTACCGTGGATTGAAATCAATACCCCAGGCGTGCTAGGCAAACATTTTACCATGGCATGGCATCCTTGGTCCTCTGGGGTTACTTTTCAAAGGAGAATTTGGTGAAGAATATCCCTCCTCTGTGAAAATATTACAGAAGGACCATCTCCGATCTCTGCTTAGAAACCCGATCTTCATTCTGTGTGCAGTTGTCTCTGTGGTAGTTCCCAGGCCCCTGCCAAGGGCGGACCCCTGGACTCTGGCTTTGAAGCCCGATTTATAGCTATTTCACCTTTAGTTTCACTGACTTCCAAGCCCTAGTTAATAACCTCTACAGAGGAACAGTGCTCAGGAGTGACCAGAACCCTGAGGATTTCCTTTATGGATCTCTTGGATAAAACAGTAACAGAAGCAGACCTTTCTACAGTGTTATGATTGACAGGTGCTTTCAGGTGTGCCAGATTAAAGCCGTGTAAAGCAAACACTTTTCAGTGAGTGATTGCACTTAGACTACCTGGGAGAAAACAGGTGAGGTTCAGGGTGGTAAAAAGACTTATTAAGGACATACCCAGCTTTGGGGAGTAGGGGACATAGACCTCAATGTAAGATTGTTGACTTATGGGCCATATTTTTAATTTTGCCCCTGTTACAATTCAGGAAGTTTTTGGATGTAAAAGGGGATTTTATTTTATTTTATTTAAAAGACTCTGTGGTGAGTGCATATGTTTTGGAAGCCAGAGGACAATGTTACGTGTTTTCCTCAGTCTCTCTCCACCTTGTTTTTTGAGACAGGATCTTCCGAACCCAGAAGTCCTGAGGGGTTTGGCGGTCTCCACCTCCCTGTGCTGGGATTGCAGGTGTGCTGCTGCTGTCCCTGGCCTTTTTACTTAGGAGTGTAGTAAGCAAGTGCAGGTCCTCGTCCTTGAGCAGCGAGTACATTGCTGCCCAAACCATCTCCTCAGCCCAATGAGAAAGTTTGTTTATCGACATTATTTATTTATTTGAGCGTGAGAGAGCAAGAGCAAGAGAGCGAGCTCATTACTGCTGCGGTAGATGTGTGGAGGTCCTAGGGCGTCTTGCAGAGCTGATTCTCTCCTTCCACCTTTACATGAGTTCCAGGGAAGGACCCCAGTTCATCAGGCTTGCTCTCCAGGCTCCGTTAACTGCTGAGCCATCTGAGGCCAGCCCCAGATCTTAGTTCTTATTAATCCAAACGAGAACTCCCGAGGAGTTAGGATAGCAGGAGTATGGTACATATATATAAAGTTATATAATATATAGATATATATTATATATTAACATATAATCACTGGAAAAAAAACCACAACAAAACTCCGAGGTCCAACCCAAATGAAGAAATAAATATATTCTTTACAAATAGTGGAATAACTACAAGAAGAAATAGCTATGAATTGAAGAGTATATTATTTATGTGTATGCTTTTAAAAAACTCCTCTGGCAAGGATAGAATCAAGGCCTGTTGTCGGATTTTCGAGCTGGTGGGGACCACCGAGACTTTTCCACTCTTTGATGGTGCTCTGAGGAAACTGAGGTGTTGGTGTTTACACGATTTACCTGATACCTTGCTATTGTAGAGATGAGAACCAATTTCTCCTATTCTTTCCCCAGAAGAGAGAAAGTCATCCATGGTAATAATTCCTTAAACAACTTTCGAGCATGAAAACTTTTTTAAAAAAGTTTTTCTATAATCTTTGAATAGTCAAGGGACTATGAATTTAGAGACATTGCCATTCATGTTATTTCCTTTATAAAAGTACTTCAGATACTTTTAGAGTTTGAGGAATTCTTACTTTTTGCCATTAAGTTTGTGGTTACTTTTTGCATAGTATTAGAAGCCTGCAGTTTATCTGCAATGATTTAGAAGTTGACAGCATTGTTCAGTTGAATTTGAGAAACTTAAATTTGCAGCTCAGTTTTGTTCTGAGAAGCTGATACTGGAACAGGCACCGAAGAGGCTTCCCAGCATCCACAGTGTTGTTTCATTTTTAAGTTCTAAGAGTAAGGATGCTGCTGCCTTCCGAAAGAGAAGTTGAGATATTTTCGGTGAATTGTAAAGAGTTTTCTACTCTTTATAAATACGATTTTTGCCTACTTCTGATCATATTACTAACACAAAGTGATTATATTTATGATTATGTATGTTATACCATTCAAAATAAAAAGCTAGGCATTAATGAAGTATATTGTTGAAAGTTAAAAGCGCATTGAAATCTTATATTCTGGAAAACCTGAGGCAAGTACATGTATTTTTCCTCTTAAACTTTTCCTTATAAATCTGACAACTGATACTGAAACCCACTTTAGATCAAAAAGTTATTTTTCTCATGTGAAGTATGTATTTGCTGTTGTTAGTAACAACTGGAGTTACACTAAGCAGTTTTCAAGTTGAGTTTTGTTCATTTATTTTGCTGAGTTGAGAATGTCTCCCCAGGGCCTCATGTATGGTAGGCAGATGTTCCTTCCATGGAGCTACCATCCTGGCCATTGCTTTTTATTTATATTTTATTTTTTAAAAATTTTTATTTAATCTTATTTCATGTGCATTGGTGTGAGGGTGTCAGATCCCTTGGGACTGGAGTTACAGACAGTTGTGAGCTGCTATGTGGGTGCTGGGAATTGAACTCAGGTCCTCTGGAAGAACAGCCAGTGCTCTTAACTGCTGAGCCATCTCTCCGCCACTGCTTTTTATTTTTAACTTGACAGTGAATCTTGAAAGTGTTTCCGTGATCATACACATAGATGATCCTTGTGTCTTTTTAAATTGCTGTATAGTATTATATTGAGCAGCTGTATCATGGGCCACTTAAACAGTTTCCTATTCTTGGGAATCTGGGTTGTTTCCCATTTTTTTCACCAACAGCTCTAGAAATCACCCTTGAAATCCTTGAAACTACATTCGTGTGTTTTCAGTAGGACAAGTTTGTGGAAGAGGCACCAATATGAAAATGTCAGCTTTTTCAGATTTACGTTTTCTCTGATAGTGTCCTTTCAATGTTTGGTGACATTAACACATTCTTTCTGAGTGTACAAGTTGAGGACAGGTGACTGGGGAGGTCACCATAGTGCAAAGCTCTTAGGTGGGGTTTGCTTCATTTTCTTACATTTCAGGTTCTATTTGGTTTTAATCTTTTCCCCAAAGAGGAGGAAGTAATTGATAACAGCTATAAAATCACTCTGCAGTTGTTGGATGATCTGCTAATTGGTTTTTATGAAGCACAGTTTTTTAGAAAACATTTTCTTCAGAACATTATTCTAAGACATGCCATTAAGGGGTTCAGAGTATCCACTGGCTTT